ACTGTGTATATATATATATATATATATATATATATATATATATATACACACACACACACACACACACTATTGTATATGTAAATAGTGTGTGTGTGTGTGTGAGAATACAGTATATAAATTCCTTAAAATACATAATCTATAAAATGTTGAATATATTAAATAATTATATCATTTATTTTTATTATATTAAATATATTAATGTAGAAAGATGTGTACAGGTATGTGTATTTATGTATGCATGTATGTGTGTGTGTGTGTGTGTGTGTGTGTGTAGACACATACATTAAATGAAGATAAATTTTTTTAAAAAGCTGTGTGAAATTAAAATCCTTTATCTTTATAACGCCTTACAACATAAAGAGGTCAAAACACTTAATGCACATTTTAAAGGAAATCCCTGAAGCAATGACAAGAGCACATTTCACATTTACGGGCAAAAACCTTTGTTCTTTATAAAAAAATAAGAGGTTGTTACAGAACATACGTGGAAAAGGAATTTCGAAATGAGGTTCTCTCTTCATGTCCTTATATTTTATTCTTTTATTCTTATTCTTTTAACCGAATATGTATGGAAGGAATAAAACACAAGGTGAGATCAGAAAATGAAGTTCACGATGCAAATGTAAAACCTCCAAATCATTTCATAAATTCCTTATTTGACATCATTTTTCTTCTGAAGCTGAAAAACTTGAAATTCTTTTCTCTCTTTCCTTCATTCTTTGAGAACACAAACAGAATAAAAGACAAAAAGCTTGTTAATATCTTTAATATTTAGTTTCTTTAAAAAAGTATGTGGCATTTCCCTCCCCAACCCCTTCCCCACAAATCCTGTCTGAAAATATTATTTCATGTTATTTTTTCCTTACCTTTGTCAACAAAAATAAAATGCATTTGGCAAGCTAACTGGAAACTGGCAGTGCTGGATACATAAAAATAATATTTCAAGTGATTTGGTGTAAGAATATCATCTGAATTGACAAAATACAATCGACATGACATTTTTGTACCCTTCATGTTCATAATGCATTACACATGTATAATACTTTATTTTTAGCTATTACGTTACCGTTGTTTTCAAACTGAACTCCATCCAAACATCTGTCTTGCCTTGAGAAGTAAAACATGAGCTTTGAATGTTCTCTACAATACGGTGCATATTAAAAGTGCAGTAATGTATATAAAATGGCTCTCTATATCTGGGTTATCATGGTTAGATTTTGTACAGCATATGCACAGCAGTTTCCACAGCAAAAAGCCCATATCAAATAATAGCTCTACAAAAAATGCATTTCAGAAGTGAGTTCCCATGTGAGTCCAAAAGTGCGCTAACGTCATCTCTAAATGTGAGCGATGTGATTCGATAAGCTGAGTTTAAGTTTGTCCACCACTAGTGGGGTTTTCAGAATGTGACAGCACCTCAATATCCAGATACAGCTTTGGCTGGAAAAGAGATAAAGAGCGAGAGATGAGAAATGTAAAGAAATAAAGCAAAACAAAACAATACACTGAAAAATGAGCCACACATAAGAGTGTACTAAAGTAATACATTCTTCAGTGCTAAAAACGTGTGGTGCAAGTACCTACACTGTACACTAAAAAAAAAAATTGAATTTGTAAATAAAACAAAGATTTTACAATATAATTTCTCATTTCAGGGCTCGACATTAACGCTTGTCCGCTTGTCCGGGACAAGTGGATTTTGTGAAGGGGCAACTGAAAGAGAATTTTACTTGCCTGCCCGGACAAGTAACCCATTTAAAACGTCATTAACAAACAATAACTAGGGCAGCGCTGAAACTTTGGCGACAATGATTCTGATTTTATTGCTTTCAGTGTATGGCGACAATGATTCTGATTTTATTACTTTCAGTGTAAATGGTGACTGATAACGGATAATGTATTGACAGTATCAAAGTCGCGTCAGTTGAGGCTCACGCAGCCTGTGTGACCCGCGGAGAAATCAGAACTAATAAGTGCAACAGCACACACAAAGAAACAAACACGAACAAATATACTGCGGTAGAAAAAAAATATAAATATTCTATATAATATAGGTAAGCAACATCACACGACCAAGAGTGATGTTTTTCCGACTATCAGCACGATTGCAAATGTGACATTTATTTGATACGCATCGCCGAGCAACACATAACAGTGTTTGGTTACTGAATGATTCAGCCATTTGAACAAATCGGTTGAATCAGTGACTCACTCATTAAGACAGTGATCTGCCACCACCTACTGGTACTTTGGTTTCATATTTAAAAGTATCATTGACATACTGGATACTGCAGAAATAGTAAGAGTAGTATGATAGTATGGCATTTCAAACACAGCCAGTGACTTGTTGCAACATTTTTCCAACATTTCACATTTATATGTTAAAAAAAGTAAAACCTTCTTCAAATCTTATAACATTATTTATGCATTTGCAATTTTACTGTGTAAATGCATTTATGGAACCTCTTATCTTCATGAAACAGTCTGAGTAAATACATCTAAATGGCAATTTCGATGCAGCTTCAGTGTTTCCTCTGCAGTGGAAAGATGGAGTTTGTTGATACGGATTTCATTTGAATGGTAACAACCATAGTGTCTTATTATTCTAACAATGTATTGTTAAAATGTAAGAATGTGACGTAAATGATGACACGTACATTCAATAAGGTCAGGAAAATATTGTCCTTCACAAAGTTAAAGTGTCCTAGAAATCAATTTAAGGCAAATTTCACAAATACGCTGATTCAAGTAAGACCTGATAGAGCACTGATGAAACTTTTGCTTCAGAATAAATTACATTTACGCCAAAAAAAAAAGCTTTTTTCCCCCGGACAAGTGACTGTCTGATTTACTTGTCCGAAGGACAAGCACATGTCAAGGCTTAATGTCGAGCCCTGCATTTAATTTAATGTTACTTGCTTCTTTCTAATTATTTGTGAAATTTACTAGCAATTTCTAAATGAAAACTGTTTCTACACCACTTTTTTTCCCCAGTGTATTTTCTTGAACTCAACTGCCAAACTTTTTTTATAACCCTAGAATTACCTTACTAAATAGTAGACAGGTAAACACTCTCCACCCTCCTTCTCTCTGTGCAGCATGTTACATAGAGAAAATGCTGAGTTAAACACACTTTAACACATGCATGTGCATGACAAACGCAGCATGCAGCTCACTTTCATACAAATGCTGCTGAAACAGCAGAATAACACGGCCAGCTCAGGCATTCAGTGATTAAATTGATTGGCTAATAAACATATAAAATGTACAGTTATGCACTGACTCAAATCTTTCGTATAGTATAATATAATCATGGCACTGTCCAACAGAGTACGGTACAAAGCAGGGCAGAAAATCTTTAAAAGATTTTTTTTTTTCTTTTTTTACCTCAGTAGGTCAAACTAAATATTGATGTTAATGAGATGTTTCATTTTCTATTCAGTTCATTTTTTTGTGATATTTGGGGCATGTCTGAATATTGTTTAAAACACTAATGATTTAAGTTTTTTCAAGCAAGAAAAAAAATTTAAAATTTGTATTGTTTTATATTATTATTCTTATATATACATACATACAGTAATGTACTGTCACTCATTAGGAGATCTGTAGTTCAGTTTATTTATTTAGTTAGTTAATTTTTCAGTATATGTTTATTTTTATTTTTTTCCTGGGACATCAAAATAATGATATTGTATTCTAAACCCATAACCAGGATCAATACTTCTAAGGTAAAACTAGCTAACTTTTCATGCTGTGTTTATTTACATGTTAGATAATAGTTTATAATATAAAAATCATAACAAACAAAAAAAAATGGTGCTTTTAAGACCTAATGGGACCCAAAAGTGTACTGTATTTGTGGACAGTGCCTCATAAACTGCATATAATAGCTCATAATTAGCATGTGTCAAATGGGAAATCATGGCAGTTCACTGATTTGAGGCATGCTGAGAAGCAGAACACACAATGCAGGTGGAGGTCATGCTCTTTCATGAACTGCACTAAAATAGCTTTGGAGAGATGCACACATATATAAAGTATCCAAAGACGAAGGGCCATGTTTTTCCTTTTCCCCCCACAAAACCCTGACAGTCATTCTGCTGTTTATTTCAGTGAGTCACAGACATCAAAACACTAAAGCTCTTTACAGATTACAGATGGCAAAGCAAGTGGTGTTTGGCAACACAACAGCATGTGCTGCCGTAGCGATGCCCTGAGTCTTTGTTAATTACAAACAATTCACAAAAGACAGCATTTGTTTATGGCTTTTTAGGCTTATCGGCTCACAAAAAGCCAATTTGCACACAATTCACACACCTCTCCATCTCCAGATGTGGAGGCAGTTGTTAGAGGGGGGCCAATCTACACTACTCACGAAGTTACTAAATACTACAGCACAAGCCCTGATGAAGCACAATCATGCAGCATGCAGACAGAAAAGGTGCCAAAACACACAGGGAACAATTAGCAAAAGCACATTTGCGTGCTAAACGATTAGCAGTTAGTTCTTACTTTGTTTTTCTCTGATTAGACAAAGGTGTAGTGAAATCCATTGCTCAGGGGAGGGGGAGCAGACTGAGCCGTAGAGACGGCAACAGGAGTGGGGGGAGGAAGAGGAGGAGGTGGTGGAGGTTGAGGGAGGGAGGTGGGACTGTTAACCGGCGGTGAGGCTGAAGCAGAAACAGGAACAGAGGAGCGTAGTAACACACAGGGAGCTAGTAGTGACAAAGTTACAGTAGTTGCTACTACACACTACAAAGTGCTATTTGTGAGTACATAACTACAAGAGCGATCTGAGGACATCAAGGTAGTCAAACTTAAAGGGATATTTATAAAAAAAACAAAATTGGGGTCCCACTTTATATTAGGTGGCCTTAACTACTACGTACTTGCATAAAAAATTAGTACAATGTACTTATTGTATTTGTATTGTATTGCAAAACACTTGCTGCTATTGAGGTGGGATAGGGGTAAGGTTAGGGACAGGCTTGGTGGTATGGGTAGGTTTAAGGGTGGGTTAAGGTGTAAGGGATGGGTCAACAGTGTAACTATAAATGTAATTATAGAAATGAATTACAGATATAATTACATATAGGTATTTTTTAAAAATATAAGTTAATGTAAAAACATGTATGTACACAATAAGTTCATTGTACCAATTTTAAATGTAAGTATATAGTAGTTAAGGCCACTTAATATAAAGTGGGACCAAAAATTATTTCATAATTCATCGCCTTCATGCCATTCCAAACCTGTGTGACTTCCATTCTTCAATGTAACACAAAGAAGGACCTTTTTTTGTTTTCAAACAGGAAGGAAAAGCACTGTAAAAGTATCATAAAAGCGATATTCATGATTTGTTACATTTGAAGCCATAAGATAACTGTATGTGAGGAATAAACCAGGAGCAATACAACAACTTTTGACTTGGACACCCTTTTTTAAATGAAATTAATACAAAGAATTATGGAAAAAGAAACAAAACCACAATTAATAAGAAGAAGAAATATTTCTTGAGCACATGGAGACCTGAAGAAATACCATCACAGAAATATATTACATTTTAAAATATAATAAAATAGAAAACAGTTACTATTGTAATATTTCACAGTATTAGTGTTTACCGTGTTTCTAATCAAGTAAGTATAGTCTTACTGAGAATAAAAACTTTTAAAAAGACGTCAAATCTTACCAAGGCCAATCTTTCGAACAGTGATTTATTTTCAGTGAATCAGAAGATCCAGTTCACAAAACTGGTCTGAATCTGAATGCTATGACACTCAAGTTCAGCTCACTGACTCAATGATCCAGTTACAGTGGATTAACCAGACTCAGCTCACTGAAGGAGATTATTCTCAGCTAATAATGACTATCCGATCAGCATGTCCTGGTCCAGAGGTAGCCGAGGACACATTGTGACTGGATCTCAGTGTAATTAGGAATATAGCACACAAGTCACATAGACCAACTTAATGGTGCTTTTGCATACTTTTTGACGATTTAAATCCTCAGTGCCCATAGGCACTATGTCCTCCTTTTTTCCTTTGTTAGAAATAAAGTCATATGGGTTTGGAATGAAATGAGTGTGAGTAGTACATTTTCTCTAATCAAGTAAGTATAGTCTTACTGAGAATAAAAACTTTTAAAAAGACGTCAAATCTTACCAAGGCCAATCTTTCGAACAGTGATTTATTTTCAGTGAATCAGAAGATCCAGTTCACAAAACTGGTCTGAATCTGAATGCTATGACACTCAAGTTCAGCTCACTGACTCAATGATCCAGTTACAGTGGATTAACCAGACTCAGCTCACTGAAGGAGATTATTCTCAGCTAATAATGACTATCCGATCAGCATGTCCTGGTCCAGAGGTAGCCGAGGACACATTGTGACTGGATCTCAGTGTAATTAGGAATATAGCACACAAGTCACATAGACCAACTTAATGGTGCTTTTGCATACTTTTTGAAGATTTAAATCCTCAGTGCCCATAGGCACTATGTCCTCCTTTTTTTCTTTGTTAGAAATAAATTCATATGGGTTTGGAATGAAATGAGTGTGAGTAGTACATTTTCACTTTTGGGCAACTATTCCTTTAACCAAGGTGGTCTACCAGCTTTAACCAGGATGTCCTTGGCTCCTCCAGCTGGTAGTCCACCTAAACCAGTCTGGACCGGTTGGTATCAATTTTAGCTACATCTGGCCTTTTCTACCATTTGTATTCATAGAACAGACAAGACAAAACAAACAGGGTTAGTGGAACCAGGCAGTGTCTCAAGCCAACGCGCATTGCCCGCATGAACACCACAATTTGATGTGTTAAGAAAATGTGCTTACATGCCGCAGCTCTGACTATTTTAGATGATTTCTGTCTGCACTCATAAACTCAAAATAAATGCTCAAAGTGGTGCTGCGGGTGATCAAAACCCTGACCTGCCTTCAGACGATATCCCTCACATAAGGTATTCTGACATGTCCTTCTAATGGAAACACTGTGATAATTGTTGACTATGCCATACCGCCAGCCTCACACATTATGATCCATCACGTCAGGACGAATTGACTGTAAATCTGTGTGACTACGAGGGACACGCTTGCACCCTGTCTGAAGGTTAGACCTGGCAGAGTGAGTGAGGCCTCTGTAAGAAGTAAAGATGAAACGATGGTGTGCTTTTATGCCAGTTCAGAAAGATGTTCAAAGTGCTGCCACGGGATGCAGAGTGAACAAGCCCCAGTGCATATTCAACTGGGTCATTGATTGGCTCTGAAAAAAATGGCCTCATCAAGAGATTCCTCCCAGCCTGAAAGATCCGACATGTCTCCCAATTAGCAAGCATCTTTACTCGTCAGATCTGCGCTAATAAGGAATAATGTTCAGTTATTAACGTTGCGGCTGATAGGCTTGGCTTTGCTCTTTCTTTTTCCTCATCACACCTCCAATGCCGATGTTTTGAAACAGGGTGGACCGTTTCTCCCAATGTTCACAGTTAATCAGTATTTGTCAGTGTGATTATTCAGGAACTTTATTAACACTGTCAGATTTGCATTACAAATAACAATTTCTGAAGTGTTTTCTTCACATTTACCTTGATCTTTTCAGAGTATCTGAACTTGTCAAGGTGTACCGCAGAGCATATCTGAAATTAATCTATTCAAACAGAGCTCTGGCAGTCATACAGGTGTGAACTGTTGATTGTATGTTATTATGGGACTCTCTTTCAGCGTCCTTAGCCTTAACATGCATTGTGCACTCCCTGTCCTTGCTCTTGCTATTTAAAATGATTTGTGCTTTTTACAATAAGTTTTGACTGTGTTTTGTAAAACACAGTATATGCTTCCATAGAAAATGGAGTGTTTTAACAAGATAATTTCAGGAATTAGTAATAATAATCAGTAAGAATTTAAGGAATCAGTTCAGGTTAGTAGTAATGCTGCTGGTTAGTTTACCTGCCACTTGCTTGCTCTTGAGCGAGGCCTCTGATGCTAAGGCATAGGACATGGTGATGATTCTCTCTTGCTCCTGTAGAGCCGAGTCTATGTCCGGCAGCACCGGCTTGTCTACTGCTGCAGGAGGAGGTATATTCTGGACACTTATATGCACACAAGAAACAGGTACATTAGAGTAAACTCTCAGAGAAAAGTGTAACAATGGTTCTCAGCATTTTGGGGTCAGTAAGTGTTTTTTTTTTTTCAAGAAAGAAATTATTACTTTTTATTTAGTAAGGATTCATTAAATTGATCAAAAGTGACAGTAGTGATATCAAACCTGCATGACTTTCAGAAAAGAAAAGAAAAGGTGAATTTAGGCCGTTTTTTAAGTACTGTCTCACTCAACATTAACATTTACTGCATCTTTTCTCCATAAAGCAAAAGCACATAGTGACTGAGGCCTTTGTTCCACACAACAAGGAAATGATGTCAGAATCTTATTTTTTTGGGTGAACTATCCCTTTAAGCAGTAGGGTTACCTCTTTGCTGAGGTCCAGCTGGTAGTCCAGAGGCTCCAGATCTAGTTCTCTCATGGGTGTGCTGCTCACGGTGAGCCATTCGTCTGACCGAGAGCGCTGTCTCTCTTTGTGCTCGACTGGTCTCTCTTCACCCTGCACGGCCTGCTCCAGAAGCTGCAAATCAAAGTCCTGCTCTCTCCTCCACTGAAGGCACACAAACACACAGAGCCCTGAGATGGCGATCATTGACCTCAGACACATCCAACTCAGGAAATGAAAATGTTATATTTTGGTTCTGAAATGGTCTTCTCCTGATTTGCAGGACAGGTAAAGTGTAGAATAACATTTCCAGTTACACTAGGACAGATGTGACAGATTTAACTAAGAGAGTGTTTTTTGCTTTCAAAACCCTCTGAATCACATGTGTAGTACACATAGTATTGAAGCCAAAATGACCTCTGTGCTCCACATATCAACTTACATCCAACATTAATTCTTTACATGAAATAAAAAGTTTAAAGAGGACAGCCCTGCACATAAACAACACACAAAACTGGGTTAAACTGCAACCTTGAACGTAATGGTATATTGTCCCAGTGCGCTCCTGTACCTCTGTACCATGTAAAGTGATTGGACTGATTGTGTGTGAAGTGTCTCATGTTCAAGCTCTCAAACCGTAGCTTACAGCACTCCTGCAAACCAAGAAAGACGCAATAAAATGCTCCATCTGTGACTTCATTTACATGCTTCATTCCCAGGCTTTATTGTGCTTACTGAAAAGAAAAGAAACCAGTGTGTCAGGAAATGAACTGTGGTTTCACATTCACAGTAGAGAGAAAAAGAACAATTGCCTTCTTTTACTTTTTTTTTTTACTAGCAAAGTGTTTATTTTCTTATGTGCAAAAATCTACATAAAAGAGCTGTGCAATTGACTTTCTTTTTGCAAATGATGCTACAATCCGCTGTTATATTATTATGAACAAGAAAAACATGCTCAGTAAGTAGTACAATTATAAACATATAAGTCATTCATACATTACCCAGGCCATTCATTGTGTACACATTCAATACATTTTGGTAAAACAAGGTGTAAAATTATACAAGTATTTATTTAAAAAAAGCCAGATAAGCTAAACCAAGTTATAAAATCATGTTTTGCAGAATGACAGTTTAATTGGTAAATAAAAAAAAATTTTAAAAAATGATCATGTCATTTATTCTGTGCACTCAGACCCAAATTGCAGGGGAAAATGATTTTGCAGGTTTTGTAAGACTTATTAGAAAGCTGGATGTGAAAAGTGAAACTGGGTGAAATTAGTGTAAAACAAAAGAATAAATGAGCGAGGTAAACACAATAGAGTCTGGTTTCACACTTCAGTTATGCTATAATTATTGCGGTTGAGTGATGAACTGCTAAAAGGTTTGAGAGCTTGTACTTGAAATTTAGTTTAGTTTATGAGCCCACTTATACAGCAGAGCCCGTTTCCCATAACTTAGAGCATTAGGTTATTGTTATAGAGATGTTAAAAGAGCATTTTGATGTTAGTGTTGTTTTTGCCTATTCAACGACCCCCAAGTAAAAGTACACTACTTTGATTCACTACTTGCAAATAACTTATTAAATTAAAAAGAAATTAACTTTTATTCAGCAAGGATGCAATTAAATTTATCAAAATATTTTTTTCAAATAAATGCTGTTCTTTTGACCTTTCTACTCATCAAAAAACCCTGAAAAAAATATATCATGGTTTTCTTTTTCTTTTCAACATTGATTATAAAAAGAAACATTTCTTAAGCACCAAATCAGCATTAGAAAACATTAGAATGATTTCTGAAGGATCATGTGACACTGAAGACAGGAGTAATGGCTGCTAATTCAGCTTTGCCACCAGAGGAATAAATTACATTTAAATAGAAAACTGTTACTTTAAATAGTAATAATACTTCAGAATTGTAATATTTTTACTATATTTTGATCAAATAAATGCAGTTTTGGTGAGCATAAGAAATCTTACTGACCCCCAAAATTTTAAATAATTGTGTACATTTAATCATAATATATTATGTATATTTCATATAGCTAAATATATTTGTAACTAATTGAATGTAATTTAATTGTTTTTGAATGAAGTGTGTTGTTATTAATGTGTGTAAAACAGTCAGTCAGAAAGAGAGAGGCAGAAGGAAAAATAAGCGGGGGGTGGCGTGGAACAAACTAAATATCAGGAATAGAGGAGTTCATTTTGAAGCTCTGCTGTGCTCATTTCTGTTAACATTTTCTGCATGATTCCATCAGGGTGGGAGACACATACTGTGTTCACAGTCTGCATGGCAACACTACCGCAGTAATTAATTCGCAAAGTACAGTCTGGCCCAAGCCCACACTGGCTGCTTTTATTTCATGTGCTCAGCGGTTTGTACTCCTGCTGCATCTAATCAACCTGCTGTTTGTCAGCTCTGCCAAAGCAAACTATGACGGACTCTTTATGTCCCCCTGCCTCTCAACAGACACTTTCAGGACTTTGTTGGCTTCCTACCTTCAAGCTTGTGGTGGTGAGTCCTCTTCTGAGGGTGACAAACGATGAAATGTTTGATGACTGGTTCAGTCTTGAAGATGAGCCTGTCAAACCTAACAGAAGTTGAACTGGATGAGACAAATCTTATAGGTTTCTTAGGAAATCCTTTCTAAAATTCCGAGCTGGGAGTTTGTACTTTCAGTTTCCCACTGAGCAGCCTGATGTCACGATCACACTTGGTACACTTGCTTAATTGGGTGTTTCTTCAACTACAGTATGGTCACTTTTGGCCATGTGGACTCTCTTAAAGCACACACTTTAATATGTCTACCAACAACGCCCAGCAGTATGCAGACTACTATTTAAAAGTTTGGGGTCTGTAATATTTTTTGCTAATGTTTTTGAAAGGATTCTCCAACTCTATGTTCACCAAGGCTGCATTTACTTGATCAAAAATACAGAAAAATTCCCTCAAGGATTTTTAAGCTGAATTTTCAGCAGCCATTACTCTAGTATCCAGTGTCACGCGTTTCAGAAATCATTCTAATATTCTGATTTTGGGCCTAAGAAATATTTCTGATTATTAATGTTGAAAATGGCTGTGCTGCTTAATTCTTTGAGGAAACGGTGATACATATTTTTCAGGATTCTTCAACAAAATTTGTCCAAAAGTCCAAAAAACAGCATTTATTCGAAATTATACTGAATTTATTTTTACTGTCACTTTTTATCAATTTAATGTGTCCTTGCTGAACAAAAGTATTAATACCTTTAAAAAAAATCATACTGACCCCAAAATTTTGAACAGCAGTGTATTAAGCGGAAATTCACCACAGCATAATTTCCATCTCAAATTATGTACAGTATTGTGTTAAACAGCATTCTGTGATGAAAATGATAGTGGTGAAAATTATATATTTGCACCATTTTTGGCTCCTTTGTAATGTTAAGGCTAAATTCACTACTAGCTTCTTATATAGCCTAAACCAGGGGTAGGCAAGTTCGGTCCTAGAGAGCCGCAGTCCTGCAGAGTTCAGCTCCAACCCTAATCAAACACACCTGAACAAGCTAATCAATGTCTTCAGGATTACTAAGGCTATAGGCAGGTGAGTTTTGTTTTCAGGGTCGGAGCTGAACTCTGCAGGACTGCGGCTGTCTAGGACCGAACTTGCCTACCCCTGGCCTAAACACACACAATTAAATATTATTTCAACAATCGCAGAATTTGTCAAAATTTCTGCTCCCATTGGGAATGGCAGAAATTGGGAAGCGCCTCCACAAGCTACAACGTAAACATACAAAATAACTAGCAATTTACAGGCAGACTGATTTGATGTCATCAATAAACTGTACTGTGGTTTACATGAACCAAACCTTGTACCCCCCTTTTCAAACGAGTGTTATACACTGTTGTGTGATAGGGCTGTCAAAATGGCTGAAAAACTAAATTCGAATTTTGTACTTAAAACTATCAATATTCGAATTTAAAAGGCATAATTTCAATTAGGGGGGAAAAAGCTTTTGGCTTCTCTCCTGAGGCCACAAGAGGTTTCTAAACACTCTTGTGCGAGACGCGAGTGCAACGGTGATAGATGTCCCTCTAGAAAATGTGATAAATATGCGTTCTGTGTGAACGGTTTGGTTTCGGTTTTGACGTAAACAACATCATCTCCACATTGATGTTCTTTTTTCCCGCAATATTTTTAATGAACAACGTAGCAGCGCCACATCGAGTGGGTTCAACTGGATAGACTAAAAAAAACATTAAAATGCAATGACACTTACATCGTCGTCGCATTTCGTGTGCCACTGATAATACTGCCCGACGCACACCTAAAATTCGAATGCAACATTTTTGCATTCGAATGTGGATTTTTATTTTAAATTCAACGAACATTCGAAATTCAAATTTTTTTTTGACAGTCCTAGTGTGTGACATATACGGGTCTCTGTGTACCTCTGTTTGGTAGAGTTTGGTAGCCACTATCACGGCTCAAACCACCAACTGTCAGCAGTTCAGGCTCACTCAGGAACGCTCGTATCTCAACCTAGGGTCCCAGGAAAATAGAATTCAGAACTATATTGACATTTTACCATATACACAGATGAAAACTGACTGTATCACTGAGTGGCACAAACCGTATGGTCTCCATTAGGGTACTGCCCGATCTCACGATCACGCTTCCGTTCATCAGACTGTCGTTTCAGGCCACGGACTGATGTGTGGCGGATGACGGAGGTCTCTTTGGGGAGAGGGGGCACAGCCGGGGGGTGTTCGTCTGGACTGTAGAGGTGAGGGAGAGGGGGTCTGGGTGGAGCGTCTTCTTCAGGCTGCATTGTGTAAACATGAAATGTCCATAAATATAGATAAATGGACTGAAGGAATATTTTGATTACTTTGTTTCACTTCACTCACCCATTTTGGCTTGTGCGCTGTATGTGAGAGCTGCAAGGGCTGCTGGGTAGACTGCACCAGGCTGAGATGAGGGCTGGGCTGAGCAGCTTTCAGTTCACCCATGGATGGGCTCGCAGAGAGAGAAGGCACTGCGGACAATGACGCTGAAGGCACGAGTTTCTTCTCTGGGTCAGGCAAATATTCCACCCGTTGATATCATATGGGCAAAAAAACACATGTATGATTATCAGTTGCATCTGTATGCAGTAAGCAGAGTTGCATGTGGTGCTGTTTGACCTCAGTACCTCGGTCTGTGTTCCAGTGCATGGGGGTGATGGCAGGCAGGGGCCCACTCTCACCTGGATTCCGAACAGAGTCAATGGTCACTTTGTAGTTGGCTTTGCTGGAGCTCAGGCCTGCAAGCACGTCCTCGATCCGCCACAGCTCCTTCCTCAGCTGAGATTTCTCCTGCTGCAGTAGCACAGAATATAATCATTTAGAATGAAATAAAACAGATTAAAATATTAAATAAAAAAGTAAATATAAGAGACTGGAAAAGGAAGGAACAGAATACAAGTATGCATACTTCAGTATTTAAGTAAATGTAATGTATTTAGCCAAACAGGAAATAATTCTGTAATTATTTAAACTCGATATATTATTAGATACACAAATAAACACAATGAAGTTAATCTTAGTATGAAAACTCCTACAATATATAATATTATATATATATATAAATCAGAATATATAAATGTAACATTATTCTTGGGAATACATGTCTTTCTTTATTACATTCAATATAAAATATTAAAAATGAGTGTCTGTCTTTCAGTATGTCAGAATACAATATAGTACATATCATAATATAATATAATAAAGAACAACATTTCTTCAACAGAACCTAAAAGCTAAAAATTAGAGTAGAACAGAATAGAATAGAACAGAAGTACCTTCATACCACTGCGATAATTCTTTAAAAAAATATGACAACCCTAAGGCTTGTCTTTGATTTTGTAAGAGGCAAATTTAGAGCTCAAAGGGGCACTGAAGAAAGGATAGGATTTTCTCTTATTTGTATTTTCAGAACAAGCCATAATTTATTGACTTGTGCTCTCACACAAACACTTGAGAAATCAATAATCTTAGACACTGTATGCCTCGTTCTTACGGCTCTATCACGCTGATCAAAAACTGACATTAGATCTTCACTCCGGCTCCGAGAGCTCCATTCCTCTTTCATCACTTTGTTCTTTCTCTATCAATTACCGGACTGAGAGGTGCATGCTGAATAGAAAAGGAGGCTGACACGGTTTAACATCTTCTGATACACTCTGCTGCTCAAACAGTATTGATGCTTTAGTTTGGAAGCACGCATTAGAGAGATAAAAGCTGAAATACAATTTTGGGCTTGAGAAAAGAAAGACTGTGTCTCATTTTTCAACTTCTTTCTCTGGTTCTGACCTGAGAGAGAGCACTGTGGGTCATCTGGTCTTGAAGGGCTGAACGCAATCTGTCCACATCTCTCTCCAATTGGCTGTACTCCGCCCAAGCGTTCTCCATCTCCTGTTTAACACAGAACAAGCCTCAATACAAGTGCAATGAGCTGATATTAGTATTGCATTGACATTCATTTTTGGCTTAATGTGATATTAGTATTTCGTGGATGTTCTTGAGTCTTCTGCGAGTGTATTAAAGGGGTCCTATTATGCTTTTTCACTTTTTCAACTTTAGTTAGTCTGTAATGTTGCTGTTTGAGCATAAAAAAGATCTGCAAAGTTACAAAGCTCAAAGTCCACTTCAAAAGGAGATATTTTATTTAACAGAAATCACTTTTCAAAAACTACAACGAACTGAAGCTCACAGGCAGCTATGGTAAGGGCAGTGGTGTATTGTAACGAAGTAATAATACCTCGTTACAGTACTTAAGTATATTTTGGGAGTATCTGTACTTTACTTGAGTTTTTATATTTCAGCCAACTTTTACTTTTACTCCACTACATTTCCTAATTAAAATGTATACTTTTACTCCGATACATTTCCCCGAAGCATATTCGTTACTTACTACAACATAGTCAGAAGTCAGAAGAGCACGGACTGCAGGAAAGTAGGTTTGACGAAACAGTGGTCTGGCGCTTGCAAGTTAGACTCCTAAAAACACCTTTGCTCATGTGCAAACAAGTGCACGCACAACCGCAGATGATTCATTTTCCACTATGTTAATATGGTAAGTGTTGTTGTAATGATGTGCGATCGGACATTATCAAGTAAGCTTTATCACCAAATCACACACAGAGTGCAC